CCTGGGACCATCCTGTGGCTCTTTTCGGAGATGGGAGTTGTCTGGCTTGAGAAAATGGCTGCCCGGAGTGGCTCCAGGAGTGGGAGTGGCCCCAGGATGACCCCAGGATGGTGTCTGGCAGCAATTTCAGTGGCAAAACCCTTGTGATAGGGTCCAGACACTGCCCACATTTATTTTTAAGATGGATCAGGTAAACCAGTTTATTTAAGTGTGCAATAATCTTTGAGGACAGGGAGTCTTAGAAATGTTTCATCCACAGGGTCGCCATGGGTCAAGATTGACTCAAGGGCAGTTAACAATAGAGCATTGTTTTATCTATGTATTTACGTTTCACTCATGTAGAGTGATCAGAAGAACTTCACTCAATCATTTTCCCCAGCAGGAATGAAACTAATTTGTTTGCTACAGAGGAGAAGCTCAGCAATAACACAAGAACTGTTGTTCACTACAGGACTCAAAATAACTCTGAGAATCTTTAGCAAAAGCAGCAGAGGTAGAGGAAAACCTGTGTTTCCTTAGACCTGGCAGACCTGGTCTCAGGAGGATCACAAGTTCATGGATTATACAAATCTGAATAAATGTAATTATCCATCTTTATGTGTCTCTGAAATCTGTGCACATTAGCTCCACACAGTAATATGATCATGCCTCTAATCCCATTATTCTGATCTTTGCAGAGAACATCATCAGGGGCTTTGCTGAGAACAAAATCTGATACTTTTTATCTGAGAGGATTTAGGCTCAGCTATTCTAGCTCACTGATAATATGAATATGAAGGTGGTGTGAATATAAAGGTCAGTACCTGGCTTTCTCTCAGCTTCCCATAGGGACACACATGAAGGGAAGGAACACAAGACAGTCAGAGCAAATGACAAGTATATATAGAGGGACTGCTCAGATTTGAAATGGATCTTCTTGGACTTTTTCTTGGTAGTGATTATAATGGATTTCTTAATGTGGATCAACACAGCTGCCTACCATTTTTGGATTTTTCTTCTGGGTGCAGCTATGGAGATAGTTGTGCTAACTGTCTTGATGAGTCATCATGTGTCAACACTTGGTATCACTGTTACTACTCTCAACTCCTGTGTTAATAAGGCAAAAATGAAACAGACATAAGTATGAGAGAGGTGACAAAAGGAGATGTTCAGATCCCCCTAACTGTGCTTCTGACAAAACACTTCTCTGCCACCAACCAAACTAGCTGCTCTGTGCATTTTGGAAGGAAGTTTCCATGGATGACAAGGGGGTCACCTCTGGAGAAACCCTGGGAAGTCCTCAAGGATGCCTTCACTATTGTGTATTTCATGAGAAGGATTAAGCCTGACACTACTCAGATGTGCCTCACTCTTCACTGTCCACTATGTATGGCCATGTTAGGTAGGGAAGCATTCAAAAGATAGATTTACAAGGAGAGGAGAGAGGAGATGTACCATTTTGTCTGAAGAACATTTATTCTATGTCTCTATATGCAGAACGTCAGCCAAACTTTTTTTTATTATCACTGAAGCATTGAGCGCATCAAGATCTGATCTCAGAAGAAATGTAATAAAATAAAATTTAAGATAGGGATTAGAACTAAGGGCAGATCAGTTTAAGGAAGTATTTGGGGTTTGTTATAAAGGAACTACTGACTGGTCCAGATTCTAGCTCTAGAACCTCCATCCAAGTGGATGGATGGGTGCCCAGTTTGCAAGTGATTATTTTGATGTCCCTGAACCTGT